TTCTCCAAAGCGCCTGAGGGCAGGACAAGAAGCAACGGATGGAAACTAATCAAGGAGAGAAGCAACCTACAACTAAAACTTCCTGAGAATTGAAACAATTAATCAGTGGAACAACCTGCCTCCAGAAGTTGTGAATGCTCCAACACCGGAAGTTTTTAAGAAGAGATTGGACAGCCATTTGTCTGAAACGATATAGGGTTTCCTGCCTGAGCAGGCGGTTGGACTAGATGACCTCCAAGGTCCCTTCCAACATTATTATTATTATTATTATTATTATTATTATTATTATTATTATTATTATTATTATTATTATTATTATTATTGTTGTTGTTGTTGTTGTTGTTGTTGTTGTTGTTGTTGTTGTTGTTATTGTTGTTGTTGTTGTTGTTGCTGCTGTTGCTGTTGTTGTTGTTGTTGTTATTGTTATTATTCACTCAATCTTCTAAAATGACCCCAATTTATCAGGTTATTTAACTTTTTCAGCACCATACCCAACTGACAAAAATTCTACATCATCATCATCATGATCATCATCATAAATTTACTAAACCTGATCATGAAGTTCTATTTCAGAATCATTTTTGAGACAGGCACAAGTATTTACAAACCTTTTTTCACACATTTTACCTTTTCCTATCTACTGCTTTCAATAATGTCATGATTAGATCTTGCAAAAGAACAATCATAAAATTCACCCCTTCTTCTTTTTTAAAACTTCAGTCATAAAACCATATTAAGCCAAAATGTTAAGCAATGGGAATATTGTATACTGCTGAGCCTATGGCCCAGCAATGGTGAAAAAAGCTTTAAGTAACATAAGGCTGTGCATTATTTACAAATGATTTAGAGAAATTGCTTTGAATCTCATTTGTACACAATATCTCCCTTTGCATGAGTTTGGAAAAAAAAGTGCAGCAGTTTTAAGGAGCTAAAGTTAATATAATTCTCTTTTTTTTCAGAACAGATTGGAATGGAAGATCTGCCATTGGGGAAGGTGGATTTGGCCACAGTGATGTATGTCTGAAGTACCATCCACGGAAACCACTGTAGCACACTCTTACACAAGATTTCCCTTGAATCACTTAACTACACTCAACTTTAGTTCAAACAAGAATCAGAATCATAAAATGTAAGAATTGGAAGGAACTTACGAGTTCATTCAGCCCAATCTCCTTTCCAGTGCAGGAATCCGTTATTATAGTATCCCTAACTGTTGGCCACACAGCCTCTGTCTGAATATTTCCAAAGAAAAGCAATCTATATTATCATGTAAGGAAATCTATTCCATTGTTGAAAAGCTCATGTGTGCTAAGAGGTTTTTTTTTTTTTGTTCCAAATGGTTTCCTGACATCCAACTGAAATCACACCTTTGTAGCTTAATCCATTCTTGGTTGTCCTGTCTTCTGGAACATTTTTGAAGAACGCTTTTTAATAGGCAAGTCTATCCCCATCTCCTTTGTGACCTCCAGTCAGATACTTGAAGGGAGTTATCATGTCTCCCTACAGATTCATGTTCCCTAGATCAGGGGTCCCAACCCCCAGTCCGTGGACTGGTACCAGGCCTCAACATGCCAGCAACTGGTCCGCACAAACAAGCAAAGCCCCATCCATGGGATGCAGGCAGCACAAAAAAACACACATTCTCTGGTTTGTGGAAAAACCTTTCTCCATGGAACTGGTCCCTGGTGCCCAAAAGGTTGGGGACCTCTGCCCTAGATTAAACATATTAAGTGCCTCTAACTGTTCTTCATAAGTTTCTTCTTCCAGGCCATCTTTGTTGTTACCATCCTTTTTCTCAGTGTATTTCCTAAACTGTGAAGCTCAGAATTGTACTGTACACAATTATCCAGACGGAGACTAACGCAGAATAGTGTCAAAAATTATTTTTCCCTATCCTGACATTGCATTCACGTTGGTGTAGTATAGGATTACATCTGTTTTTACATCATTGCATCAGACTAATGGCATATATTCAGTCCATGATCCACCAAGGCCCCAGATATTTTTTTTCACATACACTCCTGCACAGTATGATACTCTCTCCCATCTTATTATGCTATATGCCTGCATTTCATTTTTCCTATCCATTTTGAAAGACTTTGGACTTCTCTCTTGACATTCATCTTGCTGGTTTCTGCTAGTTGTCCCAGATTGTCAAAATTCTCTTGAATCTTCACAATGTTCTCGAAAGTGTTTCTATCACCCACATCTCTGAATTGTAGCAAATTTGGTAAATGTGATTTCTAACCCCTCATCGGTCATTTTTAAATATATAGAGAAGGCTAGAATGGTACTCTTTACTATGACATTCATTACTTCCTTCCAGCTTGATATGGAATCCTTGATATATGCAATAATCATTGGACATAATTATTGAATCAAATCTGTATCCAACTAGTGATAATTTATTCACATTTTGCCATGCTCTCCAGTTGGATCTCAACAGACACTAAAGAAAGGATTCATTAAGTCTAGTACACATCTAATCAACTGCTCAGGTTCATTTGACATGACTTGTTTTTGATAAATCAAAGCTGGCTCCTGCCAAGCATTATATGCTTTTCTAGATACTTAACAAGACTGCTAATTATTTTTCCTAGTTCTTGTCTGGTAGTAATATATGTCTAACTTGGTGATGGTTGACCAATTTTTTTTTCTCCTTTTCTTGAAGATAGAAATATTTGCTTTTCTGTAGATCTCTGGTCACATCTGACTTTCGTGAATTCTCAAATGTCTTGGAAAGGGGCTTCAAAATGACATCCGTGTTTTTCTTCAAGATTTCAAAATATTCCTGGTAACCAGGCATTCCTATCATAACACCTACCAGGTCCCACCCCTGCTTAGTTTTAAGATTAGCCAAGCTCGGTTTAAGTGACTCAGCATCCAACACTGATCTGTGAAATAAATATAGGTAGTCCTCAAGTTACGAGTTTAGTGGAACCTGCCCATTCTACTTGTAACTCAAAAACTCGTGGGAATGAATCTTGTACTTCGAACAAGATCACTCCCTTGCTCGTTAAGATGCACGCAGCTCATTAAGTGAACATGAGATATCTCAGGATGGGAAAGGTCATGGAGGAACAGGCCCCTAAGGCCATCCCAAACCACTAAGATACCTCACGCTTCCCCCTCCCTTACTGCCGTGCCAGACTCACCTGGAAAAGATCTGTCTCCTCTTTGCCGTGGTTCCTGCTGCTGCCCAGATCTGAGGCTGGGGGGACACTTCCACTGCACTCCAGCCTTCTCCAGGTTGCTGCTGCCTAGATTTGAGGCTGGGGGATGCTTCCACGGCCCTCTGGCAGCTTGTTTTCGGGCAGCAGCAGCCTGGAAAAGGCGTCCGGCACCCGGATCGGGCCACCGGAGGGCCGTGGAAGCATCCCCCCGGCTTTGATTCCATTTTCTGTTGCAGTGAACAGAGGCCTTGAGATCACGCAAGAGCAGTAGCGTGAGATCTCACCCCACTGATCTCACACGATCTTGCATTACTTTAGGCCTCCATTCTCTGCAAATGCACCGAAGGCCTGGAGCAGCCAAGAAAACAAAAGATCTCGATCTTCGCAGGGTATTGAAGGCCTGGTGCCTAGGGCAGTGGTGGCGAACCTATGGCACGAGTGCCAGAGGCGGCACTTGGAGCCCTCTCTTTGGGCACACGTGCTGTCGTCCCAGCCCCGCCTCCCCCCACGGCCCCCTCCACACCAGCAGCCCCCCCCCGGAGAGTCACCCCCAGGCACAGCCCGCCTGGAGCAGTGCATCCAAGGACATGGCAGCCGGGCAGTGGGCACAAGACTCCGCCCTTGCGCCCCATCGCAAACAGATGCTGTGGGGCACGGGTGGAGGGCATGGCCGCCATGGCGCTACTGGGCTGCCATGGCAATCTGTGGCGGGCCGTGGAGGTGGCAGGTGGCCCTGCGGGTGGGTGGGGGCAGGGATGGAGCAGGGGTGGGGTGGTACGGGGCAGTTTTTGGGCACTCGGTGTCTAAAAGATTCGCCATCATTGGCCTAGGGAGACCCAAGGCGGGGGTGGAATAACCAGGGTGAATGTTGCAGTGCCACCTGCAGTTGCTCATAAGGGCAAATGACTTCTATGGTGCTGCAATATTCATAATTTCGGGACTTGCTCATAAGCACTAGGGGGCACTTATTGTGTAACTTCTAATGAGCTGTAAGTGAACACTGGTAAGTCGGGGATTACTTGTAAGGGAATAAACAGGACACGGAGGGGGAATATAATGGAACAAAAAGAGGTGGCTAGCTAGGAGAGTCACGTTTTGCACAGGACTAACCCTCTACAAGTTTAGCTTTATTTTGGAAAGTCTTTTGAAGCATAAGCTTTTGGCAAAGGAAGCCCCCAACCTTTTCCAGTACTTTTCTTTACAATCAATTTTCTAAGGTAAAGTGTTACATAGAATTTTAGGGTTAGCATTTTAATAAAGGTGATAGTGGCACTGCAGCTCCCTTTGTAGTTTATATCTATGGCTCCTTTTGTAGTTGATGAAACCATGGTTTTCCTTGGAGTGGAAGCCATTTCCTTTGACTTGCAAAAACTAGCCCTTTCAGGGACCCTCAAATGAGAAGATTGCATTCTGAAGTCCTCCAGCATTATAAGTTACAAGAAAATAGTTTTTATTTTGAAAAGGCAACTGGCCTGATTTTATTGAGGAAAAACGAGACGTTTCGCTTCCTATCCTGGAAGCTTCATTGGTTGTTTCAGTTACAAGAAACAAATCTGAGTGGGAAATGAAGGGATGTAACGTATTTTACGGGCATTTGTCTTTTCTAATCAATTGTCTTACTTGATTATCTGACACATCACTTTATCAAACGGATGTTTTGTCTGTTTCTGTATCCTATAGGGCAGTGGTGGGATTCAAATAATTTAACAACCGGTTCTCTGCCCCAATGACTGCTTTAAGTATAAAAGAACGATATGCCGAAAGGTAGTTTATTATTTCATGCATTTAATACTTAAATAAGAACAATAAAAGAGGTACACAAAACTAGATTGTTATAAGTTTGAAAATACTAATGAAAAATATTAAAAAATACTTGACAAAAAAACAATAAAACTGTTATTTAAGATATTTCCATATTGCTTCTTGATTGGCATCCTCACTTGCAATTTTCTTCACTTTTATCCGAGCATCATCGGCTGTGTGATTTATCCTTAACCATCTTTTCACTGTGGGAGTAGGATCCCATTCCTTTAGAGGTAGGCCGATTAGACTAATAGTCATTGTGTTTGATATATTAGAAACAGTTAGGCAACTTCTCTTGGTAAGTTCAATTGGGTTCTTATTGGATTGATGAAAAATAGTATATATCTTATTAATACATATTTTAAAATGATTTACTTGCTTTATTTCTTTTATCGAGTCATCTAAAACAAGAGGGAGGCGATGGTTTAAACAGTGCCATATTATGATGTTTGGAAACTCTTCTGCTATCCTAGTGCTCACTCCAGATTTTCTCCCAAGCATAATGCTGCCACCATCGGAGCAAAATCCTATTAAATTCTTTTCTAGGTAGTTCTTGGTAAGCCCAACATTATTTAAACTTTCCATAACTGAAGAACATATTGTCTCTGCATCTTGTTTTTCCAATTCAACTAGCTCAACGAAAATTGTTGGTGATGTAACCGAATCCTCAACTTTTAAGAAAAGTATAATAACTGGTTTGCAAGATATCGTTGAGGCTTCGTCAATAATCAAACATATTTTCAGATTCTTTTCAACAATTTTAGTAAATATTTCTTTTTTAATTTCCTTTGCAATGAAATCAACTATTTTCACAGCAGTTTTACGTGAATGTAATCCTATTCCCATATCTAATCCATTTTTAATTTGCACTTCTATCTCAGCTTCTATGTCTGAAAACGGTTTACATCTTTTTGCCAGGCTGTAAACTGTATTAAATACTCTACAAGTGGTACGTAAATATTTTTCATCCATCGTATCTATTACTTTTGTTACTGAATCCTGCTCACATTGTTTTAAATTCTCTTCACAAATGTTATGAGCTTTTGATGAAAAATGTTCTTTCATTTTTTTTCTTAGAGAAGCCTGTTGTACCTGTTTATTTTTTCCTGATGCCTCAATCTGAAAGCATTTCCATTCTTTTGACACATGAACACTTTTCTCTTTTGTGAAGTCATATTTTGCACAATACTCGCAACCTAACTTTTTGTTAGAAATTACCAGTCCGTCATATTTTTCTTTAAAATTGTTATACTGTTGCACCGTCCAGCATTCAGGAAGACTATTTTCAATTTTGAAGTTATCGTTTTTTATTTCAATAATTGACGTGCTGCTTTCTTCAAGATGGAGTGGTTGTGCTCGTGACTGTTTTGTACAATCCAAGGCCAATTCTGATACAACTGGTTCTGATTTTGGTTTCTTATTGAACAAATCTGTCAAACTCTGTTGCCTTTTCATCCTTTTAAGGGCTACTGCAAAAAAATTAAAAAAAATGTTTTAATATATAATAATATTTATTTATGGACATTAATATTATTTATCAAAGATAAAGATATTGTACAAGGTATTGTACAAAAACTTATTGAAAAGTGCATGCATCAATAACCAAGCAAGGACATGTAATGAAGAATGCAAAGTTTATAACATATTACTACAATCACCAGAGAAAATTATAGAATAAAGAGTAGGCAATAATTAGAATCGAAAGAAAAAGGAAAAATCGTAAAAGATAAGCCAATAGCTGGGACAAGACAAAAATATCACAAAAATAAGCTGGTATTGCTCAAGTAGAAAAAAATATCATGATTCAAACAATATGTATAAACTACATCAGTATCAGTATTTAGAAATAAGGTATTTCAAGAATAAAGGACAAATATATAATCACAGAGCGTGGAAAAAAAAAAGAAAAAATATAAAAATATTGTTGGTACAACAATGGAAGTTACCGTACTTGCTAACACACCACAATTATGAAAAATGGTCATAACTTACTTTTTTCAGTGCTAGTCACTAAACGAACAGCTGTAAGTTGAGGACTACCTGTATAGAAGTGATCTCTGACTAAATCAGTGTATATGCCAGTGATGGCGAACCTTTTAGAGACCGAGTGCCCAAACTGCAACTCAAAACCCACTTATATATCGTTGGGTGCTGGGTGTGTGTGGCCAATTGGGTGTGTGTGGCCCATTGGGTGGGCGTGGCTGCGATGGTAACGGCAGACTGGGTGGGACTAAAAAGTTCAATCAATCAATTCCAACTTTGTGAGATCTTTTTTTTCCTGCGAGGTTGAAATTGATTTTTTTTTTTTGCATACCGCGGCGGAGGCCTAAAGCGAAAAGGTTTTATAAAACCCAGCTGAAGGCCTAGGACTGGGGCGATGGTGCGCGTGCCCACAGAGAGGGCTCTGCGTGCCACCTGTGGCACGCATGCCATAGGTTTGCCATCACGGGTATATGCAATTACCTATCTCTGGGCTAAAACCAATGTTTCTGGAATAACAGCTCATGAAATCTCTGCTACCTATAAGTTTACTCCACAAAATGACAAAATTTGCTATATAAAATCACAGGTTGATGCCACTGAACTGCTATTTGCCATCTGAAATAGCACCTGTCACTTAAACAGTGCTTATTATATTAAAAGACTAAATCAGGGGTGTCAAACTGCCGGCCCACAGGCCGGATGCATCATAGTGAAACTGCGCCCACCCCATTGCTGGCAATGGGAAAAAAGTCGGGACATGTCACGAGTTTGACACCCCTGCACTAAACTAAGGTTTGATATATGAAATTGAAATTCTGCTATTTAAACTTAACTCATAGGCCTTGGTATAAAATAGGAAAGCCCATCCTGCTACAAAGAACTACATTAGAGTTTAATGCTCGAAATCACAGAACCCTTTAAGACAGCGGTTCTCAACCTATGGGTCGTGATCCCATTTGGGATCGATCGACCATTTCACGGGGGTTGCCAACCAAGGCTGTCCGCCATTTTTTTCCCCTTTTCCGGCGGGTGCCTTACCTCCCTTGGGCTGGGCCAGCTGGTGGTCGGCCTGCTCCGTCTCTGCCACTTACCAGCTACGCCTCGGCCGGTGCAGGGGGCGGAACCGCGCATGCGCGGCGCTCCCGGGCAGGGAAAGTCCTCGACTTACGACCGGCTGGGTAGTCCTCGACTTACGACCAGTTTAGTCCTCGACTTACGACCAGTTTAGTCCTCGACTTACGACCAGTTTAGTCCTCGACTTACGACCGGTTTAGTCCTCGACTTACGACCGGTTGGGGGTCGCGGCATTAAAAAGGTTGAGAACCACTGCTTTAAGAGCTTTCCTGCTCATCATTAGTTGCACTCTGTATATAGCTAGACAGGAAAAAGTTCTTTTCCCATATGCAGCGTCTATTTCTGAAATTACCTCCGAGAAGCACCACCTAGTTTTCACCTGAGTGACGTGACCGAAGGCGCCGTGTCTCCGTTTGGTTTCTGTCGCTCCTCTCTTGGACTTTTGGGGAGAATTTCTTCCCCTTCTCCCACCGCCTGGAAGGAAGTCGAATGAAAACCAGACCTGTTTTGGAAAACACAGATTTATCATAACGGGTTCGCCGAACTCAACAAAAAAAAATTAGGTATCGGTTCTGCTGAAACCGGCTGAAACTCAAATTTTTAATTTTTTTTAAAAAAATATGAGTATAGGGCAGGGGTGTCAAACTGGCGGCCCGCAGAGGCCATGCCCACCCGGGCTCCGCAAAGACAAAAATAAAAAATAAAAAAATCACGATACATCAAATGGCGCAAAACGAGTTGGACACCCACGGGTACAGAAAGTGGGAAAGGCTTGATCCCCCCCCTTAATAAAAGCCCTTCCACTTCGCCTGAAGCGCTTGTGATTCGTACAGGAGCGGCGGGGAGACGAAAACAATCACTTTACCAAGGTATGAGGTAGGTTTTTTCCGGCTCCACCCGAACTCAGGAGTTCCTCTTCCCACACAGTCCGGAGAGGCCCTTAACTATTCCGTTACTGAGTATCCGACGCTTTCCTTTCAAAATAACAAGCGGGAAGCCCCGCCCTCCTCACGTCGTTCCGTTACCGCACCAGGCGAGCAGATTCCTAAACTATTCTATTCCCCCCCCACTCCAGACCGTACACCAATCAGAAAGCGGCGATGGTTCGGTTTCTGCCACTCGTCTCTCTCTCTCTCTCTCTCTCCCCCCCCCCTCTCTTCCCCGCCCCATCCCCGTTTATGGTACCGCGATAACAAATTGCCGGGAGTGAAAAGCGTTGGGTTAGCTCAGGGGTAGGCAAGCTCGGCTCTTTTATGACTCATGGACTTCAACTCCCAGAATTCCTGAGTCAGCTTTGCTGACTCAGGAATTCTGGGAATTGAAGTCCATGAGTCATAAAAGAGCCGAGGTTGCCTACCCCTGGGTTAGCTTAATGGCGGTAATGAGCTAAAGAGGAGGCCGTTGAGATTGAAAAGCCGTTCCTAACTGTGGCAGGGTCCTAGCAAAGGTAGTTTCGCCACCTAAATTCGCAGCTGGCAGAAATGTACGTCTGGCTCCTGTTGGGTTTTTTTTTTCCTTCTTTTTCTGTTTACCACCCCCCCCCCAATCCGTCCCGGAGTAGTACGTTCCTATTTCCCACGTCGGTGGATACGAATCTCCGATTTCCTGAATGGGGTCTCTCGCGCGTCTTTTCAAAATACTTCCATTTCCCCCCCCCCCCTTCCCGTTTGTTAAGTTGGAAGCTTCCGAACTGTCGGGAGAGCCGACCATTCTATTCGCGGTGTTTCGGGGGGGGGGGGAAGAGGAGGTACTAAAAAAGTAGGGTGATACAGCCGGCCTGGGTGCTTTTTTTTTTCGGGGGCTCAGATGCAAATGGGAAATCTGTTTTGTGCGATCCAAGTTTCGTACAAAGGGACGCTGTACTAACCGGACATACTTAAAACCGTTGGCTCAGCTCGCTTTCCGCGAGTTTTCCTTCATGAGCGCCAGATCCTCATAGTAGGGATGTAAGAGCCAAGAGATTTTGGGGCTTATGAGCGTGTGCAAGAAACGTGAGAAGGGGGAGCAAGCTCGTAGCATCCCTGAACTTCTCTTCCCAATTGCCTTTCAAGCGAGCTGCGTTCTGCAAAGTGATTTGGCTGGAGTCGCTGCGATTAGTTGTAAACTACAGTTTATAAATCACATATTATGCCCTCCAGTTTGCATAAATCTGGTCTGCTTTATAGGGCAACAAAACGTATTTGTAGGGGGCTTATTGTAGGGGCTGTCTAGATTGGATTTTGCACTAAACCGGACCAAGCCTACTCGTGGCTTTGTATACATCTAATTATTGGCTGTTTGTGTTCCTGACCATCCCCTTATAGCCCTTGACTTAGGACCACAGCTGAACCCAAGATTCAGTTGCTAAGCAAGACAGTTGCTGAATGAATTTCGCCCCATTTTACAATTTTTCTTGCCCCAGTTCTTAAGTGAATCGCTGCAGTTGTTAATAACACGGTTGTTAAGTGAATCTGTCTTTCCCCGTTTACTTTGCTTGTCAGAAGGTTGCAAAATGTGATCACATGACCGTGGTGATGCTGCAGCAGTCCTAAGTGTGAAAAACGGTGATAAATCACTTTTCAATGCCTTTGTAACTTCAAACGGCCACTAAACAAAAGGTTGTAAATCGAGGACTACCTGTATAGCATCACAACCTGTCTCAGGCAGTAAACCTGTAGCCTTTCCATATATGGTCCTTATATATCAGGGCAACTTCATGCTAAGCTATACTTTAAATATTTTGATGAATCAGCTACAGTCAGTTGGGTTCATGAAATGCTCTAAATCAGTTTGCAAGCAACAGTGACCGATCTCATATAACATGGTAACCTGCATTAAATTAAGCTAGCATGATTTGTGAACTCGAATATAGTATGAGAAGAGACTTGAGGAGAAACTGGACCAGTTGGTCAGAAATTATTACTGCTGAAATGTGTATTCAAACACTGAAAATGAGTGAGCGTTAAAGCCGGTTCCATTCCTAGGTTAGAATGCAGAAATAGAATCAGTAAAAAGCTTCGTTCAACCTATGCATGTTTTAAAGCTTCCTACACTGCTTCAGGGTTGAATGCCTTCACACCATCCTATCTTAAGTGCAGTGAGGTATGTGCATAGTATTTGGATGGGCACACTCAAGTCCATACCAAATTAAATTAACTTAATCCAGGCATGCAGCCAAGTGATGTTGTCATGTCTCCTTTAATGCACCAAAAATAAAATCCAAATGTAGTAAAATACTATTATTATAAAGCCTCAATTTAGCAGGCTATTGGGTAGAAACAATTCTGTTACATGGCATAAATCAATGCAAATAACATAAAAATGCCTATTGTGGAGTTATGCAAATGATTGATACAAGTGTGGGATATTATTACTGTTTACAGATTTTATAAAGAACTGACTTTTCCATTATTTCAGGGATGACATTCACGTTTTCTGATCTGGCCCCATTGCATCATAAGCCCATTAGACTTTGTTCAATCAAAGGTTCATTGTATGTGTTGCTTTTTCAAGTTCTACAAATAACCTGCACAGAGTTTGCTCTCCAGAATAGATGAATCCCAAAGACTAATTATGTCTTGAAAAGACTTTTACATTAGTAAAGAGTTATTTAACAACAACAAACAATCTGAATCTTTAGGCATCTGAACATTTTTTCTAATATCGAAAAGATAAGGGTAGATGTTAGCACTTGTTATGATGAATGTGGCAAGTCACACCTTTATATATTTCTTTTTCTTTACTATATTCTTTTTATTTTCCTTTTTTCCTTTTCTGCGTGTATTCATTTTTCTATCTTTTTAAAATTGTATTCTTAATTACAATATTTAATAAAATTACTATAAAAAAGGTTTGCAGATGCTTTTTTTATTTTATTGGACAATTAAAAACTGACTGACCAAAGGGAAAAATTGCAGAATTAAGAAAGAAAATAAACCAGTGCAAAAATAAAACTAAGCAAGAATGAAAAAGAAATATCTACAGGTGGATGCAGTATTGAACTTTTGTCTTAAATATTATTAAGATGTATTCTAATGCTGTTAACATTGTTAAAAGATTTCATCTTTTTTACAGCAAAATGTTCCCATCACTAATTCCAACATTTATATTTAGGATTATTTCTTAATAAATATCATGAAATATATCTATCTTTCTGAAGGATCCATATTTTCCCTTTTTTCCCTTTCATAGAGTAATTGAAATTATTAATATGATCAAATATGGCATCCTATTTGGCACAAGAAATTCAGCTTGCTAAGCAGCATGAAGAAATGTAAGTAGTTTTTGAAGATGTCCTGTTTTTAGATGTTAGAAAAATACAATAAAATATATTATGAATGCTTAGGAATTTGAAGCACTGTTCCCAAATCTATGAAATTTATCAAACTGAAAACAACTGTGATTATTCTAAATTTAAGATAACCATCTTTTAGAAAAATAATAAATATTAATAACAGAAAAATACCATACTGTATTGCCTTTTCTTAAGAAGTGCCATATTTTGCCTCTAGGGGGAGCTGTCCACCAGTGCTGCTTTTCAAATAAACCATAATGTGAAGTCCTTTTCAAACTTGAATTTTCTGATTGAATTCCAGCTACAGCTTAATGATTTGATACCCCTTTTCTAAATTCAGTATAATGTCCCGTTTCATTGAATTTCTCTCGGTGTTGCAGCTAACATTTCAGATTCTATCCAGATTACTAAAACATTTTTTAAAAAGTGAACATTTAGAGTTACTGCAATATCCTAGCTTTGTTTTAAACATCTCAATTTTCTTGTTCAAAAGGCAGTTGCAGAATTTTGATATGTAGCCCAAAGTCAACCTATTCTAGCTTCTTGCTTCCATAGTTAACAGTCTCTAGGAAATATGCTGACTGGATTTGAAGAAGATAGTTGCATCCTATAATAGTTTCTCAGTGACTAATAGCATAACGCACTATCTGTATATGTGTACAAATAAATATGTTATTGGTAACTTAACATTCATACCTTATGAACCCTACCTTGACATTTACTTTTTAACAGGGCTTGCACATCAGCAAATTTTTCATTGAACCATCACCATAAAACCAAAACCTCTTTCTGATCAGTTGTTGTACATGCATACCCTAATCAATATATACTTTCTGTGTGTTAAATTTCTAGCACTAATACGCACATTTTCATACTATCCTAGGATGAACCTCAACTTGCCATTTTGTTCTATTCTCTCAGTTTGAGGAGATCTTTTTTTGTGTACATCTCTGTATTTAATAATTTGATCTCATCCAGATGTGATCCCTCACTATTCAGAGCTGAATCCAGATCATTTGTGGAGATATTAAATAGGCTGTCCCCATTTATATCCTAATGTGAAATCTGTGGTACTAGACCCTCCTAGAGCTCTTCAAATGACCTCATGTGGATTTCCAATCTTTCAGTCTGGTCGGAGAAAAATTATTAAATATATGGAAGTAATTAGAATAGATTTCTAAGGGCAAATATTCCATCTCCATTTGTTTCTGTGGTTGAAAAAACAAGTTATTCATTCTTGGGGGGAAAAGCTTTTGAAAAGTGCCGAAATTGTAGTAAGTGTAATGCCCAAATCTGTGAAGAATCTATTTCTGCTTCTGGATTTTTCTTCTCGAAATGGAAATAGTAGAGCTAATATAACAATGCAATCTAAATTGATGAAGGTTTAAAAAATGAATAATGACATAATATGTAGAAATAATGTAGAACGTAATAGGGTGACAGTGTTATTTAATATAATCTCTGAATAGTTTACATAAATCTGAATGTAGCTGATATTTCTTTAACTTCAGTTGAACGGGTATGTTTGATGGAGGGAATATAGCCCAATACTTTGGATGTGTTACTTTTTAGATGCAATCTCAGACTTCACCATTTTTTTATGGAGATGATACAACGTGTAGTAATAAAGATTTCTCCCTAAGACTGTAGTCATTTGCCACAGAGCAATTAATAAAAAAATGGAAAAAACAGCTTGTGTACAAATCTATGCACATACTAAGTCCACGTTCATAATACTTCTGTGCCAAAATAAGCAAAAACAGTCTCCCCTCTTTATTATTGGTTTAATATATCCCAGTATTCATTGCACAGAGAACTGACCCAGCAACCCCCCAAAAATTGATGAAAGTCTTGTTTTACCTTGGCAATAGTAATAAGGGCCTTATTTCTTTTGCATATTGGATGCTAATATAGTTTTCTTCATATCTCTGAGACTATTCCTCCAACTCCTTTGTAAAGAAACTCTCCCCACGTGTAAGATTAAAAGGCTGCCGAGCCCCATTTTATACCCTCAGTTTACAATTTTCAATTTGTGTATATAGTGTATATACAGAATCCCATTTCTCGGCAAACTGCGGTCTATTGCTCCCTCCCAGGAGAGTTTCCTTGAAATCACTGAATACTTTTTCCCAAAAGCCTTTTTAAAAATCTATGCAGAGAACAGAATGGAGCCTCATTTCTATAGGAAAGGTTTGGAAAGATAGTTTTTTTTGAGAGGGAAAAAAAAACTATTTTCAACGAAATCTGGATTGGGAGGAAAATTGGTTTTTTTTTTAAATTTTGCAGAGGGATGTATAACCAGGATGAGAAACATGACCGTTTTTCTCCTGAACGCAGCATCTCTAAAATGTGCAGAATTACCCCTAGTAACAGAATGCAACTAACTCCTAACTAGTGCCCTAAGAGAGCTAACTGAGCCTTGCAGGCCCATCTCGTTTGAGGTGTTCTGTGCCGATTGTCTCATTTATGCAGAGACCGCTTGTTGTACAACATGATGGTTACTTTCTCCCTGGGAGCACAGCACGAAAGGGACTTTCTGTGCTTTCCCCCTCTTTTTTTATTCTCCCACGCTGCGTTCAACATAATTAGAGAAAAATTGGGTGAGGGTAAAAGGTTGTTGTTTTTCTGGTGGTTGTGCAGGAAAAAAAAAATGCCTGCCCACTTATCATAATGTTTCCCTTTTGCAGACTCTCTCGGAGATTGGTGTTGCTTCAGCAGATGGAGAGTCATCTAAGAGACAAAGACGCTGAGCAGGCATGGCACACGCAAGAAGCTGATGCGGCTCATAAAAGAAATGTATCACTTTTAAACGTAAGTTTTCATGGCTTTGAAGCGGTAACTTTGCTGCAAAATAGCCGTGTAACGTTAGCCATCTCTTCCAGATGAATACTGAAAATACTGATTAACGCTTTCAATTGCATCCAGCCAAAAATGGAGAAGCGTAGTCCTGCAACATGTCAAGCATATACATTTCTAACCAAAATAAAAAGATTATAGAGATTCTAGGGTCAGGAGAATTAGCTTTCACTGAATCAGAATTCTGTTTCATTGCACCCAATGGGGACTGTTACTGAAAAGCCTTTTTCCCATTATTTTGATGATTGTCCTTAATTTTCCTGTTATCTAGTACCTAGGAATATGCTGATCTGAATCTATCATCTCAGCTGTTCTGTGTAATCATAACCAATAGCCCTTTTCTTAGTGTGTTCATTGGCTCATAGACAAACGCCACAAAAATGCTCACTAAGAAGGCTATTTCACAAACGGTCTCTTAAATTGCCTAGTAAAGGGATTGAACGAGGCAATAAAGTATTTCCTTCTGCTTTCAGCTATAGGTTTGAATTGACCAGAACTTGACATACTGCTAAAAATAATTGTTCCTAAAACAGTGTGCTGGCTGTTCTTAGAATTACTGAATTGCCATCATTTTTTATTAAGATGTCAACTAAGACTTTGTTGCATTATTATTGCTATCAGTTAAATTTAATATCTGCATTGTTGGCACCTTAATTAAAGCAACAACTTTCTCTCTATTCTTTCATTAGCTCCCGAATTCATATATTTAGCATTTGGCTTAAAACAATTGTCTTTGTTGTTCCAACAACATAGCTCCCATTGTTTACACATTTTTTTTCAGTTTGCTTTTAGATCCTGCATACGTTCATCTTTACATTCAGTGCTGCTTCTGATTTTGACCTCTCTTCCTCTCTCCATTCTTACAAGTTATCTTGTGATTTTTTTATGCAGTTCCACTTCTCAGCTATGCAACAACCTCTTGCTTTTCTGAGATGATGCCTTTTCATCCTTGTTGCTCCTTCCACCTAACTCCATCTGTGGGTTTCTTATTTTTAATTTATTTTATTGTGCCAAGCCAATCAACAGAATAAAAATACAAATGCATACAGTAATATTAAAGGATTCATATAATTTAAACATACCAATTAACAAGGTTGGGGGGGAGATCCTATTTGTTTGTCAAAAAAAGACTAATTCAAATTTTGATGAATAGTACATATTCTTTGCTGCATCTCAGATGCAGATTTATCCTTCCACTATTGCATAATAATTCTATTAACCAATTCCCATGCTAAGAAAATCCACAGAAATGTAATATGTATTGCCTAATTTTTATGTGTTATTTTTTTATAGTAATTTCTTTTATTATCGTGACCCACCTAGAGTCATTATTTCTCTAAGCCAAGTGTAGTGGATGATTTTTATGATAGTCATAATTGTATTAAAAAAAATAAATGTTTCACATTTTCTTTATAGAAAATGAAGGAACTTTCTTCTTCGCAGTTTGCAAAAAGGTACACTTGTGATATTAATGGGATAGGAGCTAAGCCTATTTGATACATCTGTGCAGATAGGACTATCTGTTTTCCACTATGAAGAATGAAACCAACTATTTGGGAGACATAACTTCATTCTAGATGATGTTTGTTAATTTGACATAATAAGACAATAATTCCATAGAGCATGGATATTGTATTATATTGATCATGAATGTATCACATATTTTAAGTCCCAAATTCCTCTTATAATTAAATCTATAAATATGATGGGATCCCATTGATTTTGTGATTTGCAGTCCCACAAAACTATTGTGTTTGACTCCTAGCCATTAAAGATTATCTACCGCAATGTGTGGAGAACTTTAAAGCCTTTTGCTTTATCCAAGCTATTTTTTTTAAAGCACTCAAAAAATCTAAGGTAGGATATGTGCAAAATGTACTGTTCCTGCCCTGAAATAGATATATTTTATTGGGTTACAGTACAATGAATTTCCATTTGGAAAATGAATTTCTGAAAAACCACAGACTATCCTCAGAATGATTAAATAATAGCAATAGCAATAGCACTTAGATTTACATACTGCTCCATAGTGGGTAGTTTACAATGTCAGAATATTGCCCCCAATATTGCCCCCAACAATTTTAATGAGCTAGGAAGGATGGAAGGCTGAGTCAACCTTGAGTCAGGATCAAACTCCAAGCTGTGGGCAGAGTTTGCCTACAATACAGGTAGTCCTTGGCTTACAATCACAATGGAGCCCAAAATTTCTATTATTGAGACATTTGTTAAGTGAGTTTTGCCTCATTTATGACCTTTCTTGCCACAGTTGTTAAATATCACTGCAGTTGATAAGTTAGTAACACGGTTGTTAAGTGAATCTGGCTTCCCCATTGATTTTGCTTGTCAGAAGTTTGCAAAAGGGATCACATGATCTTGGGACACAACAACGGTCATAAATATGAACCAATTTGCAAAGCCCCTGAATTCTGATCACATGATCATGGGGATGCTGCAAAGGTCATAACTTTGAACGGTTATTAAACGAATCTAGAATAAAATGGCTAAGGAGAAGTATGATGCAATTCTTAACTTCAAAAAAAAATATTTTTTTTTTGCCATTGGAAATTACTACAATGTGCAGATTTACTGCCATTATATTTTAGTCTACAGTACTGAGACAAATCACCTTATGTTTCTACACTCCAAATATAAAGCAATCCTTACGTGCTTCTACGGGCCTTTCAGAGAAAGTTTGATGGGCTCATTATATCGCTTTCACACTTGTTCACCCGTGCCAGTAAAGGCTATCTCCGTAAATTTTATGACCAAACATTTTTCTAGGAGCAAGCCAAGTCGTAAGAAATCTTATCATGTCTTCTTTTTCTTCTGGCTCAAAGTCAGCAAGTTCTACTGTCTCTAAGGAAACCATTTCCAAATGGGTGATTACTGACTTAGTTGAGCATAAACACACTGATCTTTTCAGATAGGAAGGGTTTTTCTTATGTTATGGCAGGTTAATCTTTTTATTCTTCCAGCAAGATGCTTACTTGTCAACTGCCTTATAGTCTGTCATGCACTCATGAATCACTCTGTGTCTTGCTCTAACTCTTTAGAGCAACTTTGATTTTGCAAGAAAATTCTCCCCCATCTGGTTTTAAAACATGGACGTGTGTACTTTATCTTTCTAAGTATTATTTTTTTCCCCAATTATGGCTTAATTTTCATGTTGTCTTTCCATTGGAGGTTCAGTGTGTTGTTTGTATAGTGGCAGTTACCATTATTTAATTGTTCTAGAGTAGGGGTCCCCAACCCCCGATCTGTGGACCCGATCTGTGGACCACCGGGCCACGGCATGCCATCAACCGGTCCACACAAACAGGCAAAGCTCCATCCGTGGGATGCAGGCAGCACACAAAACCACACACCCTCTGGTCCGTGGAAAAACCTCTCTCCATGGAACCGGTTCCTGGTGCCCAAAAGGTTGGGGACCTCTGTTCTAGAGTTATCCCATGGGGCAGTATGGCTTCAAAGAACTAGAGATGTGTTACTTTTTCCTTTGGAAAAAAAAAAAATGGGAAATTGCTTCCCTTTAATTGATTTGTTCCAAACATGTTATGACAGATCACCCACTCACCCACTCTGCTCTTTTTGGAGCTGAGGGTTCTATAACCTTCTTGTGCATATTTCAGTAGACTGCTTTTGAGATTATTTCTGGCTGGATCAGAAAAGAAAATTTGCACATAGTGGGACTCGGAGTTCTTCACAGGAACTGGGATTTGGCTACATTTGGCAGAATGAGCAGTTAAAAGCTTGGAGAAATTTCAGTGTGATCTTTAAAAAGAAATAATTGCAAAGAAGGAAGAAATGGTGACCATCCTTTTCTTCATCATTTGTGGATCTATTTTATAGCGAAGCCCGCTAATTAATGGAGACCAATGGTTCACTGATATATACATAATCTAACTTATACTGTATATTCTTCTTACATTCCAATTAAGTCCTGCATTGTTTCTATCTTACTGGGGAGAATTGAGAACCTATAGGAGAAAAAAATCAAGTTTTATAGGCTATTTCTTCCATTGTATTGTGGTGTTCTGAGTCTGAATTCCAGAACTATCAGAAAATTCATGAAAGAAACAGAAGACCATGAAAACAAATTGTCTGGCAGGAAAGAACAGCATTACTGATTTTAGATGCATTTGTTCTATTCTGGTTTTAACAGGCAGGCAGCACTGCAGATGCTTTCTGATAACAAAATAAAACAGGAATGAGATCTACGCAGAACACTATATTAGAACCTTGAAAATAAGGTTCAGATTTATGTGCCAACTTTAGAAAATTGTTCCCAATAACAGGCATTGTACATTTCACAGTTACCATGTGGAGAGTTGTTGATTTGGTTTTCTTGGAAAAACACCGATGCCATGATGAGGTGTCATTGTATTTGCCTCTATTTAAATTAAATTGAGTAAAATCATTTCAATTTTTGCTTCAGAGCTATAAAAAGAGCTGTTTTCCTCTCTCCGTTGTAATTGAAACATACTTCCAAAACAGAGAAAGGGCTGAAATTTCAATCCATGGAATCTTGTTGCTTGCTTTTATTAAGCAAAGGGTAATACCTCAAAATTTGAATGAGTTGATTCTTTGAAATTTGCAATTATTGTGGCAGAAGTGCTACGTTTACTTACTTTGGAGCAAGCAGCACTAACTTCAGTAAGTCCTGTTTCTGAGTAACGATGAAGCATTTAATCCAACGCTTTCTTTATACGATTTCTAGAAAGGGTTACTATTGGAATGTAATAAAAGAAACTACTTATTTTTATCCCCTTATTCTTATTTTATCCCCTCCCCTCATTTTACTAAAACTAATAATCCCCTACTCTACAACCCACTTTTCATTGATAATGAATAAATAATGCGTAATGGTTAACAAAAATGAAATGTAGTCATTTTGGTACCTCATACTTTCTAAACTGGGGTACAAATAGCATCAAAACAATTAAGTTTCATAATAC